CCCCCCCCCCCCCCCCGTGGCTCCCTGCTGGTCCTGGCCATCGTGGTCTCCATGTTCGGCCACCTGACGGGCTGGTTCCTTGTCTGAGGTCAGAGGTTCGCCTCCCCACACACCCAGGAACGGCCCCCAGCCATGGAGCTGGCCTCTCCCCATGGTAGAATGAGAATCTGGTGGAAAAGACCCGGCTACCAACAGGATCTGCCGGGACAGCAGGCCAGCCCTTGGCAAGGGAAGAGGCCGATGGGCAGGTCAGGGTGTATCTGAGCAGATGTAGATCAGGTGCAGGGAGGAGTCAAGCAGACCTGGGTTTGCTCTGTGGGCCTTCTCCTAGGATCCCCCCGAAGGGAGCATCTTGTTCCTTGGCTGAACTGTGACCACAGGGGAGCTGGGAGTCAGGCTCAGAGGGGAAGTAAAGCCAACTATCACAAATATTGGGGTGGTGGGTAGCAATGTATCTAAATCTGAAGGGAGGAGATGTAGAAAATTGATAAGGGAAGCAAAAGGCAGGAAGGCCACGTCGCTGGCCCACAGTGTTAAAGACAATTAAGGAGCTGTTTTAAACATAGATTAGGAGCACAAAGAGCTCTGCCATTGCTATGGGGACATTGCAGATGGAGAGGGTAGAAATTTCAGTGCTGCCACGAAGGGAGAATCTTTCCTTAAATATTTCTTGTGTCTGCGCGTGGAAAAAGTACACCGATGATGTTGCCTGAGCAGGTGATGATGGTGGGCAAGCTCTCGGTTCTTCTCTTGACTCAAGTGAAAGTAAAATAGCAGGTACAAAAGGAAATCACCAAGAGTTTGAAAAGAGCTGGCCGAGGCATCCAGAGCCCTCTTTGGGCTGAGAAAGCTAACCTTGGGCCAATGTTTTAAATGGGATTTGGGGATCTCCCAACTAATTGTGGACCTGTCGTCCTGACATCAAGCCCGGGGGGATAATGGGAGGGCAAATCCGTGCTTCAATTAATACAAATTAAAGGAAAGTGCCATGATTCCTCAGCATGGGAGTATGGGGACTCGCCCCCTCACACTGACCAGCTGGGCTCTTTTGCTGCGAT